AAACCCGCCAGCAAAGCGACGAATCGTCAGGCCATAAACCAACAAAGAAAAAAAAAGAAAACGAAAAAGGAAAAGGAAAAATAGGAAAGGCAAAACAGGGAGTGGTGGGAGTCCAAGCTCCCACCCCCCAACGGGCTCAAAGAGAGATGATTATTTAGGGGATTAAGGAGTAGGGAAAGGGGAAAAAATGGAGGACAACGTGCTGCTTCTTAGAACACCATGAGACCAAGTTGTCTCCAATGTACACACAGTAACCAGCTGTGGACCGTCTATCATCTGGGCAGGAAGCCCAGTCAGAGTCAGCAAAAGCAGTAATGTGGAGGCTATCATTTTTCTGTATAGTCAATCCATGACTCAGAGTGCCTTTCAGATATCTAAAGACCCTTTTAAGTACCTTCCAATGAGAGTCAGTTGGAACTTGAAGGAACTAGCTTAGTCTATTTACAGAGTAAGTCAAGTCTGGTCTAGTATGAGCAATGTATTGGAGAAGTCCTATTGCGCTTCTATACAGAGTGGGATCTTTCATAGCTTGATCTTCCATTTTAGAAACTATAAATTCTAGCGTTCCTTCTCCATGAAAAACACTCAAAGTTGCCACGAGATACAACTCGTATGAAAATTTCTTTCCTTCGAACCAAAGGAATATTTCGCAACTAATTATATCACTTTATGAACATGCTTTTTAATGTTGCTATGCCACTAATTTTAGCACATTTATAGTTTTAGAAACTGAGCAGATAAAGATAAAATATGACCTGAGATGGTGCTGAATTCAACTGAATTTTATTATGTTTACTCCCTGATGAACACACGGTTTATATGCAAGATTGTAACAACAAGGAATGTTCTAGAATTGAGTTACTAACAAGACTAACAACCTGTCCTAGCTGGTAAACAAGATGAGATTCCTTTCCTGAAAATCAGGATGTGTAGTGCTAGCATAAATTCTGTTTCTTGACAGCTGATTATTTTAACTCCCCCCTCAAGGTGGAGTATGTTCTACCACTCCAAGCTTGTCTCTAAGTAATTGAAACCTTGAGTGTGACGTTGGTTTAGTCAGCAAATTTGCTATTTGGTCTGAAGAGGGAATGTAGCTTATCTTCAACTGTTTTTCAAGCACTTTATCTCTTACAAAGTGTGCGTCCAACTCTATATGTTTTGTTCTAGCGTGGTATACAGGATTGGAGGCCAACGTACTTGCACTAAGGCTGTCACACCAGATAACTGGGATTCGTTGCTGTGGTATTTTCAGCTCCTCCAATAGCGACTGGATCCAAGTTACTTCTGCAGCATAGTGAGATAAAGCCCTGTATTCAGCTTCTGTGCTGGACCTGGCGACAACGTGCTGCTTCTTAGAACACCATAAGACCAAGTTGTCTCCAATGTACACACAGTAACCAGCTGTGGACCGTCTATCATCTGGGCAGAAAGCCCAGTCAGAGTCAGCAAAAGCAGTAATGTGGAGGCTATCATTTTTCTGTATAGTCAGTCTATGACTCAGAGTGCCTTTCAGATATCTAAAGACCCTTTTAAGTACCTTCCAATGAGAGTCAGTTGGAACTTGAAGGAACTAGCTTAGTCTATTTACAGAGTAAGTCAAGTCTGGTCTAGTATGAGCAATGTATTGGAGACGTCCTATTGCGCTTCTATACAGAGTGGGATCCTTCATAGCTTGATCTTCCATTTTAGAAACTGGTTTCACTGTAGCCATAGGTGTTGGGCTGGGCTTCAAGTTTTCATACCCAAACCTTTTTAGCAACTCCATTGCATATCTAGTTTGCTTCAGGTAAAGTTCGTTGCATCCCTCTGAACTCCAATTCCCAAAAACTTCCTCAGTTTTCCCATGTCTTTGAGTGCAAAAGTGAAATTCAACTTGTCAATGAACTCTTGTATTTGTTGACTATTGTTGCCTGTTATCACAATATCGTCAACATATATCAATGCAAAAATTATATCAGTTCCTGTATCCAAGTAGAATAAGGAATTATCTGCCTTAGATTGCTTGAAGTTCCAGACCAACAAGGTGTGCTTTAGTTCATCATTCCAAGCTCTTGGAGCTTGCCTTAGACCATATAAGGCTTTCTTCAATTTGCAAATGTAACTGGGGTGCTTCTCATCAATGCACCCCTGTAGCTGATCCATAAAAACCACCTCATTCAAGTTACCATTCAGAAAAGCATTATTTATGTCTACTTGTCTGATTTCCCAGTCCTTTGATACAGCAAGTGTTAAGATAATCTTCAAGGTTGAGGCTTTAATAACTGAAATCAATCCCGGGAGTTTGCAAGAAGCCTTTAGCAATAAGCCTGGCTTTGTGCCTTGCAACTTTCCCATTTGAGTCATATTTCAGTTTTGAAAACCCACTTATTGCCTATGACATTTTTCATGAGTGCATTGTATTCTTCTTGCATTGCACCTTTCCAATGGCTGCTTGTCAGAGCTACCTCAACATTTGCAGGCTCAGTTACTGATGTTTCATCAAATGCTTGACTTGTATAGACTTTTGGTTTGAAGATGCCAGTTGCTTCTAGTAATCATTTAATGGCCTGGATTTTGAGCTATGATGGGTTCTGGCAAGTCTATTTCTCCTGTTGCAATTTGGGAATTGATCTCAATTGGCCGAACTTCTGATGTTTCATTTCCTGCCAACACTTCCTGATTCAAGTCATCACTCTGATGTTTCAACACCTCATTTACTCTCACTTCAGTTTCAGTTTCAGTTTCAGTTTCTCCATCAGTGAAGCTTGCTGCAAGAGTACCTTTAGGTTGTATTGTAGAACCAGCAGTTGCATTTTGGGGTAAGGAGTTAAGACTCAGGTCAATGAATGGAAGATGACTTATAGTAACATCACAGGTTTGGGATGGAACACATTTATTTAAAAATCTTGATTTAAATGGAAAGTCTTGCTCATTAAAGGTAACATGTCTAGAGATGTAAATTCTACCATTTGGATTCAGACACTTATAACCCTTGTAGGAATCACCATAGCCAAGGTATACACACTTTTGAGAGTGAAAGCTGAATTTGTGTTTTTGATAGGGCCTAAGGTATGGAATACAGGCACAGCCAAAGGTTCTAAGTTGTCTGAAGTCGAAGTTTTTGTTGAATAGAAATTGAAAAGGTGAATTTTGTTGTAAGACAGAGGTAGGCAGCCTGTTGATAAGGAAGGTAGCAGCCTTAAATGACTCCCACCAATATTAGAGAGGCATTTGAGCCTGAGCTAAGAGAGTAAGCCCAGTTTCAGTGATGTGCATGTGCTTACGCTTAGCTCTACCATTCTGAACAGAGGTGTAGGGGCAGGAATGCCTGAGTTCGATGCCTGATTCAGCTGCTATTTTGCTGAAATTTCTGAATTCACCACCCCCATCAGATTGGAGTGATTTAATTTTCCTGTCTAGTTTATTTTTCACAAGGTTTTTGAACTGAACAAAGATGCTTAATGCCTCAGACATATGTTTCATTGGATAAATCCATGTATATCTGCTATGATCATCAACAAAGATTATGTAGTATCTATATCCATTGGTAGAATTTAATGGGGCAGGTCCCCAAACATCAGTGTGGATAAGATCCAAAGGATTCAAAGCATGTGAAATTGAAGTGTCAAAAGGAAGAGCATGAGATTTACCAATTTTGCAGGACTTACAAAAAGTAGGAATTTCATTAGATTTAACATCTTTATTACATGACTTTAGGACTTGACTCATAACATAGTTGGAGGGGTGTCCTAATCTTCTATGCCAGAGATCAAGTTCAGACACAGAAACTTGTTTAACTGAGGGGTAAATGATCATCACCAGGTTCAGCTGTGAAGCACTGGTAGTTATTTTGGAGGTTGGACTCGATACTGATATTTTATGATTTGAGGTTAGACAACTGTAGCTGGTACAACCCATCCCTAAGTACTCCTTGCAGCAGGGTCTTCCTCGTTTGGAGATCCTTAACAACACAATAGTTAGAATAGAACTCCATAAAGACATTATTATCAGCAGTGAGTTGGGAAACACTAATTAGGTTTATTTTGATTGAGGGAACATGTAATAATCTGTTTAAGTCAAGTGATTTATTTGTCATGGCGCAAATTTTTCCCTTTCCAATATGTGCAATATATAGCTTATCTCCATTTCCAACAAGCAATTTTTCCTTTCCCCCATAATTTTTAAAAAAGTTCAGATTACCTTTGTCTGTTGTTACATGGTTGCTAGCCCCAGAGTCAACAAACCATGCTGGATCCTCAAGAACTCAAGGTATAGCAACGTAGGCCGAAGGTGCTGAGTTAAGGTTCTGTTGTCCTGCGTTGGCTGGTTTCCTTCCCATATATCTTTCGTCATATCTATTGTAGCACCAGCTCGCAGAGTGATTGCCTAGTCCACAGATTTGGCATGGACCTCTAGCTTCATTTTTTCTGCCAAACACAATATAGCCAACCCATTAGGAGTTGATCAGCTGATATCCACCTAACAAACTCAGGATTCTGTGTCATTTCAACTGTTTCTCCTTGTCCAACAGTTGTTTGAGTAGCCAAGAACTCTGATGGACACATCTTTGTCCCCAATAGGTATCTTTCAAGGTTATGCCCTTTGATAATGGGCATTATCATATGTTTCCACAATTGAAAATTGTTCTTATCGAGCTTGACTGTAGGCGTCTGAGTAATGTTCATTCCAATGGACGGATGCTGGCCAGCAGTTGCCTGATTAATTGCTAGAGCAGTGTTAAACTCAGACTGATTGCCGGATCCGATGTTAGCCATTATAGGCTCTGATACCAAGATAAAATATGAACTGAGATGGTGCTGAATTCAACTGAATTTTATTATGTTTAATCCCTGATGAACACATGGTTTATATACACGATTGTAACAACAAGGAAGGTTCTAGAATTGAGTTACCAACAAGACTAACAACATGTCCTAGCTGGCAAACAAGATGAGATTCCTTTCCTGAAAATCAGGATGTGTAGTGCTAGCATAAATTCTGTTTCTTGACAGCTGATTATTTTAACTGATAAAACAGATTATATCGTACTTGATGAGAGGGATTATGGCGAGGGTATAATAGATCAAAGAGAGAACTCCAATTATATCATCGTTGTGTTTTATTACATCTGCGAATGCGCTTGGATATACGTACAAAGGCGATGTCCCTAAGTCTCCAAACGCAACTCCGATGCTCTGAAACGCAAGATCCAATATCATACTCCAATCTCCACCCTGCGCACACACATTATTATTCCGGCTTAATCACTTAAATTCTGCAACAACAAAATAAAAACAATGAAGTTATGCCAAAGAAAATAAAGGATATACGTTGGAGCGGTGGTTGTAGCGGCCAGCGCCACCATCAAGCTTGTCGGATTCCACTTCAAGGGATTCATTCCGTCTGAGTTTAGGTTTTCTCTCTTGGAGTTGTTGAGGAATTTCTTCTGTGGTATCATGTTTAGGGGTAGACATGGTTTACAAATGTAATTTGTTTTTTCAATGGTTTCCTTCTTTTTTTTCAATAGTAGAGATGCATCGTCTATCATTATTAGGGATACATGATCGATTAGGTGTCAATGGATCCTCTAATTCATTATCTAATCGAGTTTTGATGCACTTCAATGTTTTGGACAATGAAGCATTGGACTCATTACCACATAAATAATGATGCATCTCGAGTTGATGCGAAATGGTAAATTTGACCTATATTGGTCTCAAAATTAATTATGCTTTGACTCTTTTAATTTATGATCATTAATATCATTAGCTTCAGAAATTTTGGTATAGAATATGTAGCTTTTAGAGTGTGAAATCTTGAATGTAGTTTTCTAAGATTCAAAAGAATTGATTATGGTTTGACTCTTTTAATTAATATACTCCTTAATATTTTTAGCTTCAAAAATTTTGGTGTAGAGAATTTAAATTTTAGAGTGTGAAATCTTGAGCCTAGTTTTCTCAGAGTCGAAGAACTTCAGGATCATAAACCATTGGCCAAAGTCGTAAAATATTTAAATAAATAAAATCAAAAGGATATTTTGCCCAGAAGACCATCGATCCTACATGCATTTGATTTTTTTCTATATCTTCTTCTAATTTCCTATTTTCTTTTGGTCCCGAAGAGGGGATAGGGGACACTGAATTTTCGTAAATATTTCAGAAAGCGAAGGAAGGGACCTTTTAGGGTAAAAAAATGTTACCTAATGTTACTTTTTTTAATGTTAATTAATGTGTGTCTCCCAAGAGTACTATTGGACTAGTGCTATTTGTGATATTTATATTGTTGATTATTCTTTTACTTAGTTGTTTAAGTGTCATCCACTTATTGGTAGTTTGGTAGTCATCTGGATTGTACTAGTTTAGAATTAATTGTGGCCCTTAGATGAAATCGACGGCTGGAATTTATTCTTGGATGAGATATTTTCTTTGGCTTATGTTTTTTAATCTATTCGGTTCCTTACAAGAGACTTTCTCTTCTCTTTCTGTTGAGTCCGATTTTCTTCTTCTTCTTCATCCGGTGTTTACTGTCTTCTTTAGCCTGTTGTTGAGAGAACCTTGTATAATATTCAGGCTTGAAATAGTAGTTGAATAGTGTACACTCCACCACATGTCAACCTACCGTTTGACCCAAAAAAAAAAAATAATAATAATTCACCAATCAATTCTTGTCACAGGGATGGTGTCAAGCAGAATGTAGAAATGTGATGTAGAAGTCATTTTATCCTTTTAATCAAGTAATTGAGGCTGACCAAATTTAAAGTCTTCATTATCTACATAAACTTCAAAAAGAATACATACACTGTATACAGTACAAACATGTACATGGTGGTGTGAAAAGGAATGTACATCCCCATTATCATTGGCACGTAACTCGATGGAGGCGTACTTGATGAGAGGGATTATGGCGAGGGTATAATAGATCAAAGAAAGAACTCCAATTATATCATCGTTGTGTTTTATTACATCTGTGAATGCGCTTGGATATACGTACAAAGGTGATGTCCCTAAGTCTCCAAACGCAACTCCGATGCTCTGAAACGCAAGATGCAATATCATACTCCAATCTCCACCCTGCGCACACACATTGTTATTCCCGCTTAATCACTTAAATTCTGCAACAACAAAATAAAAAACAATGAAGTTATGCCAAAGAAAATAAAGGATATACCTTGGAGCGGTGGTTGTAGCGGCCATCAAGCTTGCCGGATTCCACTTCAAGGGAGTCATTCCGTCTGAGTTTAGGTTTTCTCTCTTGGAGTTGTTGAGGAATTTCTTCTGTGGTATCATGTTTAGGGGTAGACATGTTTTACAAATGTAATTTGTTTTTTCAATGGTTTCCATTTTTTTTCAATAGTAGAGATGCATCGTTTATCATTATTGGGGATACATGATCGATTAGGTGTCAATGGATCCTCTAATTCATTGTCTAATCGAGTTTTGATGCACTTCAATGTTTTGGACAATGAAGCATTGGACTCATAACCACATAAATAATGATGCATCTCGAGTTGATGCGAAATGGTCAATTTGACCTATATTGGTCTCAAAATTAATTATGCTTTGACTCTTTTGATTTATGATCATTAATATCATTAGCTTCAGAAATTTTGGTATAGAGGATTTTGCTTTTAGAGAGTGAAATCTTGAATGCAGTTTTCTAAGAGTCAAAAGAATTGATTATGCTTTGACTCTTTTAATTAATACTCCTTAATATTATTAGCTTCAAAAATTTTGGTGTACAGAATTTAAATTTTAGAGTGTGAAATCTTGAGCGTAGTTTTCTCATAGTCGAAGAACTTCAGGATCATAAACCATTGGCCAAAGTCGTAAAATATTTAAATAAATAAAATCTAAAGGTTATTTTGCCAAGAAGACCATCGATCCTACATGCATTTGATTTTTTTCTATGCCTTCTTCTACTTTCCTATTTTCTTAATTAATGTGTGTCTCCCAAGAGAGGTCCAATAGTGTTGTCTAAATACTTTCATTTCTCTTATTCCTCAAAACAAAACCTGTCCCTTTCTACCTAGTTTTGTTTATTAGTATTACACCACTTTATATTCTACTTGCTTTCTTTTTGGTTTGTTAGTGAGCATCCTATTTTTTCTGCTAAGATTGATTGCAAATTAAAGTGCAACAAATAGGAAAAACCATGCGTAGTTTACTGTTTTTTAGTGTTTATTTTTGCTATAGCATATAATATATACTCAAGCAAAATTTCTGTCTTGATGCAGTGATGTCCCAGATAAAAGCTATGGTTGATGGTATTCAACATTTACCGGCAAACGTTCATGATGGCGGTTTGCTTAAGGAAGTTGACAATTTAACTAAAAACCTTTACTGACTGAAGTTAATTATAGTGGTTTCTGAGGAGTTAACGTAGATTACTTTGATATTTAGCGTACGGATGAACGTGTAGCCATTTAACTTGTGTTGGACACATTTCTTTTGGATTAATGTTCAACTTGATATGTTTTGGATTGATTTTACACATTAATGCCCATTGAATTTAGATTGATTTTACACATTGAATTTGTGTTGGACACATTGATTTTGGATTAAAGCAACATTCATTTGATGCCTTTCGCAACGCATTTTGCACGTTATCATATCTTTCTACTCTGCGGCAACATCGAAGCCCGTAGCATACACCTCAACATTACGAAAGGTCTTTTGCAACGTTTGTAGTGTATACTCTTAAAATAGTATTTGCAAAAAATATTTTTCTCACAAAAACTTTATTGGAATAACAATTTTTTGTGACGTATATGTATTGCGACGATGCTATAGCGACAACTATTTTGTTGATATTTCGTACTTTTTGCATCGAACAAAAAATGTTGCAGGTTTGTCAATGTGACGAATGATCGAAAGTTGTCGCAGAATACATTATGTGACTCATATAGCGCGACAATCCCTGCAACAAACATATTATTGTCACGGATTGCAACAACATCTCTATTTACGTGACAAAATTTTTTTGTCGTGATTTCGATATTTTTTTGTAGTGCCATTTGATTCCCGTTCATCTCGTTGCTTGTATATTGACATATTAGATTGATATCTTTGACAATTTTGTATGTAAAACATGTCATATATGTCCAAAACCGAGTATAATTGAAGCCTTATTATTTTCAGAGTAGCGCACACCATTTATCTTGTTAATATCACTAAATTACGTGTCATTTTTGTATTATTTTACCATTAATGGTCTTCTATATTAACCTTGCTATATATTGACATTTTCATGAGTTTTCTGCACATTGGTAAAGTCACTTATAATATATGTGTGTGTGTGTCTAGCCAACTTCTACGGCATGTTACGAAATTGAAATAAGAGTTTGAATTTTTCTTTGTCAAATAATTGTTCAGTTCAATATATCAAACACCTTCTCTTGTTGATTAAGAATTTGACCGATTAATTATGAACATAATTAATGGAAAACTTGACCCCCTAATCCCTATGATCTCGTATTAATCAAGACGTGAGTCCTTTGACACATATCATTAACTGTAGCTTTGAAAATTTTAATTCAGAGAATTTATTGTAAATCCAAAAAGTGATGAGTAATGCTATTCATCCTCACTGGGGATGAAAACACAGTCTACATGACGATAATGTGATATTAAATGATAGGTGAAATTAAATAAGTAATTTAATTTCACCTTTCATTTAACCTATCATTTAAAACCACCTAAACTGTATTTTCATCTCCATTGGGGATGAATAACATTACTCTAGTGTGTTTAAATGTCAAAGAGAATTTCAGGATCATATTAGCTAGCGTAATATAGATCATAATCCTTGGTGAGATTTGTATCAAATTTGTGTCTCGAAAAGTCAAAAATTTACTTTCAAAAAAGTGATTATTTTTTTAGACCGACAAGAGAAATCGACAATACTGCATAGTCAAAATTCATGTATACCTAAAAGTTGTTGACTTCTTTACTTCTCTTGTATAAATGTTGAACCTATGTCTTCAAATGAATAAAACTAGTGCCTTCATCATAAATCTTAAAATCAAAGAAACACATATATTCGATTTTTTTTATCAAGTTTGAAGAACCAAAGGATTCAATATAGGTGGAACTATATGATGTATTGAACTACAATTTATTCTTTATCAACATGAAAGACGTTATATGAATTAGAAGCATATTGTTATGAAAAATATATAGTTCTTGTTTGATAAAACTTTGCTAAAAGTTAACTTTTCAATTTATCAAACTTCAATTTTAACCACAAATTAAATAGAGTACAATTTTTGTTAATTTTTCAAGCATACAATTCATCGCCTTTTACTAAAATCTACTAATATTTTTATCGAAAGCTTTGTCACACCGGTCTGTCGTTGTAAACAATCGAAAGTTTCACTAGTTAATAATGACTATATTGCACCTTCTCTGTGAAATTCCTATTCATTACAAGAAGATTGCTGATCAATTTAGTTGTTTTTTCACCTATGGATCGTTTGGTGAAATGGGTGACGGTTTCACAAATCTTTCAAATTGATTTTCTCTTTATTTGGGAAAACATGAGGGCCATATATAGTATGACATATTATCCCTTGACACTGCAAGATGACGCGAAAGAATGGTATGACATATTATCCCTAGGTCCATCACATCGTTCACTGACTTTGACATCAAATTCACATGTTTTTCAAGTAGGTTATTCAAAGAAAGGAAGGATGGATTCGAGATTATGTTGCTCGTTTCAATAAAGAAACATTGCGGATAAAAAAATCTTTAGATATCTTCAGTGTACCAACGTTGATCAACGGATTGAGAAAAGAAGTATTTAAGACTTCTCTCTACCTCTCTCAAAAAGGCCACCTGATGCAATGAGAGAGTTGTTTAAGGCGACTGGATTTGACTTAGAATTGGGACAATAGTAACGGATGGATAATTTTAGGTTCTTTATGTTACTTTCTGTTTAAATGTAAAAGATAACAATACCAAATTTAAAATATTTGCATTACAGGTACTTACTATAAATTCTAGACCTTATTTTCCACTATGGGTCGAATAGGATTGGCTTGTGGGAAAATTACATCAAACCAGGGATTTTGTTTCACATTTTTAAAAATCAGGTTTTAGGTTTAGTTTTGCAAATATCAGGTAGTATATTAAAATCTTAATTCTTAACCTAATTTATCAATTCAATCCTCTCCATTCTCGCGTCCATATTCTCCTCTCTCTCTACAGTCTACCTTCCGGTCCTTCCCCCTTTCCGCCGCTGGAGATTCCAGCCGCGTCATCGTCGGAGATTACAGCAACGTTGTCGCGGCTACTGTGCTGTCGTTGTTGTGCCGTCTGTCCTCTCTCTGTTCACGGAAGTACATCTTCGATCTCATTTCTGTATTGTTCTGGAAAACCCAACGGCGATGACGTGTGGTTGATGGTGGTACCAAGCAACGGCGGCTGCTGCTGGGCGGTGCATTGCGTACGGCTGAGCTCTGAACTCTGTGGAGAG